TGTAAGCTGCGGTCGTCGCTTCTAAGCGGGCCCGGACAGCCGCATGAGTGGCCTGCAAATCCGCCACCAAATCAGTAGCCCGACGATCGTCTGTGCCAGAAGGAAGAGCGACGAGGTCGGACGGGCCCCGCGGTTGAACCGCATAAACAGCCTGAAAAGGGGACAAACCAGTAGCCCGACTCACCGCCGAATTGTGAGCAAATTCGGCCTGGCTCAAGCGCTGGTCCCAACTACGAAGGTTGTCACCCACCAAACATCGAAGCAAATTGCCCAACGAACGATTAACTACTTCCGTCTGTCCATCAGTCTGAGGGTGGTACGCGCTACTGAAAGATAACTGAGTGTTCGCCATACGCCACAGGCTACGCCAAAAGTGACTCAAAAAGCGAGTATCACGATCCGACACAATGGAAGAGGGAAGCCCATGCAGACGGTAAATCTCACGGAAGAACAAAAGAGCAACATGCACGGCGTCCGTGGTTCGCTTACAAGGTACAAAGTGCACCATCTTCGAAAACCGGTCGACGACCACAAAGATAGAGTCAAACCCGCGTTGAGTCCGCGGTAGGCCCAACACGAAGTCCATACTGATGGCGCACCATGGCTGTGACGGAATAGGAAGGGGCCGATAAAGCCCGGCATTCGAAGCAACGCCCTTCGACACATGGCACACCCGACAACGCTCCACGTGGCGAGCCACATCACGACGAAGTGACGGCCAAAAGTAGCGTCGGCTCACCAAATCCACTGATCGGTCACGGCCCACATGCCCGGCGCCGTGAAGGTCGGCCACAAGCTTGTGGCGCAAGCTACCCTCTGGAATACATAAACGGGACCCGCGAAAAAGAAACCCGTCCGAGAGTATGTAATCCTCGACCGGCCCGCGCGAAAGACGTGTCACGATAGGCCCAAAAACCGCATCCGTCGCGTACAGCTCGCGTAATTCATCAAAGCCGACAACCGCGACTCGCATATCCGACAATAAAAGGGCCCGTCGACTTAATGCATCTGCCACTCTGTTGGACAGCCCCGAACGGTGTCGAATCACAAAAGTGAATTGCTGAAGGAAGGCGGCCCAGGAAGCATGACGAGCAGAGATATTGTCCTGCGAAGCCAAATGACGCAACGCCTCATGGTCGGTGAAAAGAATAAATTCCTTATGAAATAGGTAGTGT